TTTGAATATTAAGATTTAATAGTGTATTAATTCAGGGAGGAGGGAGTCATCTGCCAGGCATTGGGAAGGTTTCTATCTTACCCAGTAAATGCATTCGGTCCCCCTTTAGTCTTACTGCAGGAGGGCTACTACTTATATGTTTGTCTCAGGCAGCCAATCAGCGAGCACTGACCAGTGGTCAGCCTCCTTTTCAAGATAGCTGCTATTTTTCAAAAGCATCACTCCAGAAATTTACATGGTCGCTAGCAGACGTGTTGCAGCACTCGCCACACACAGCCCTGGCATTTTGTCTCCCTCCCACCCTCCCATTGTTCTAAATTGTGTTTACATTTGTAATAGCATATAGTTAGTAGCTAGTTGGAGAACCATGGAAATCTTTTTGTAATATATTGCGTAACATTACATAATTAACATGTAAGGCATGTATCAAGGTTATCGCATGACCTTGAACTTGGTTTGCACACCTTGGGTCAGGGTCATTGTGTAACCTTATTTAATAATCATTTGGCAATCGTGTTTGTTGATTGTGTAAGCGGCGGTGATAAATTACCATGGTATTCTTTGTCCCAAACCTGTCTTTGCGTTATGTGTGATACCCGTAGTGTAATTAATTACAGGTCTACAGGTTTTATACAATGAACATAAAGATTAACAGTTTCTTCCTGTCTTTTTCTCATGAAAACATTTTCCTATAAAAAACAAATATCTTTAAAGTGACATAACCAACAGAAGAGGGATTTTTGACATGATCAAAAAGAGTCTCCTAATTCTTTGTACTGTGTACTATAAGGTACTGTAAGAGAAAAGCCCCTAGTCTAATAATATAGTACAAGGCAAAGTTTATGTGACATTTTCTATGACCTTGACCTACAGGAATTGTGTCTGTGACCTTGACCTTCAGTCCATGGTCAGAGTTTGGTTTGTTATATACAACATTATAAAAATCAATCATATTATGGAATGACAATGTTTGGAAGTGTTTCATCAACCTGAATATTACACAATACCAGCAGAAATAAGACAAGCCAGCATCTGTTTATGAAATAAATCACAGGCTCAGATGCAACAAATGCAAAATAACAACTAACATATATTCAAAGACAATAAATAAAGAAACAAATATTGTAGAAAATCATGGTCAGTAGAAAACATTGATAATATGATTCTGAATAATAAATATATGTTTTGAACATTGACATGTACCCGGATATAAAATCACAGAAATTTATCCACATTTGAAACGGTAGAAACATGATCAGAAAAATCGCAGTAGAGTTATCCAACCTTGAACACTATTGTATATTGTAGAATCCAGTCTCAAGATGGCATATCCAGGAGACACTGAAAATGTGTGATCAAATTTTGGAGACCAAACAAGTAGTTACTATCCAATTCTTGTGAGGGAAAAACATGTGTGAAATCTATCATCCGTATTTCCACTAGAGGGCACTCACAATCCTCGGTTAGTTTTGAAGAAATTTTGGCATCTACACCTCCATTTACAATGTGCAAGGAGTCTATAGGTTTGTTAGTGTCTCCCTCTCCGTTTTCCATGTGAGGAGAGTTGGATCTGAGAGTATTTTCCCTGTTTTTCTCGGACTCTGTCTGGTCAGTGTTGACAGCCGTCGAGCAGTCCGGTTTATGTTTGACTTCGCCTTCATACACAATCAGAATTGAGCTAGCATAGAAAGCATATATCCTTTGTTCTGAAAACCAACTTTCCAGATCTTTTAGCTTTTCTACCACCACCCTAAGTACATCCTTTCTCATACCCTTGTTAATCAAAACGAACCTCCCTAATCCTGAAAAAGGAAAGAAAATATTTTTTAAATGTAAGTTGAATGATGTAAGTTACAGGTTAAAATCAAAGTAAAATACAATTATCTTGACTTTGAGAAACAAATTTACATTGAAATGAACTCTTCTTTAGTATCTAAAATACCTCTCTGCTGCATATATATATGGGAGAAAGTAGGGATTCTCTTAACGTTTTCACAAAAGAGGTTAAAACCATATGAACTGTCATATGCCGTATATGAAATATTATTTAATCGCTGTCTGAACTTCCCTCCCTCATTCCTTACTTCATCCATATCTAAACTTCCCTCCTTCCCTGAATTTCCATCCATCTTCAAATTTCCCACATTCTCAAATTGTTTTCTTTATACGAACTTCCGCCCCTGTTTGAACCTCTGTCCCTCTCTGAACTTCCCTTTGTTAAAATAAGATTTTGATCTGTCTTTGACCCTGACCCTTTTGGCTGTGACCTTGACCCCTGCTGTATTCACAACCTTTGACCTTGACCCCTAGTGTTGTAGTGACACTGAAACCTTGACCCTGATACTTACCGTGTGTTATCATGGTGTCTTCAAACAGTTTTTTACAGTAGTATTTGTCATATTTCACTGTTTTATTTAATTCTGGGTCATAAACCTGAAAGACAAAATTAAGATAAATCAATAAGATGACATCACTGTGTAAAAACTTAATATTTCATCGAGTTCTCTGAACTCATATTGGTTGGTTATAATATCATCTAAATAAAGTGTGTATGGGGGCGGGGGGTTACCATTGAAATTCAATTTTTACACTCAGAACAGTGATGATGATTATATTTTGTATATTTCATCTTCATAGTTTTTTCATAAAAGTCCTGCAAGGTATTGTATTCTTTTCAGAAATGATTTATCAAAGATAGTCATGCTGAAAAAATCAGTTTCCAATAGGTAGTTAAAGCTTTTGGCAGTGGTACAGGGATATCCTTCATAGGCAGGTGATCTTTATAGACAGGTTGTCTTTATAGACAGGTTGTCTTTATAGACAGGTTGTTCATATATAGAAAGAATAACTTTGGTCACGACTAAACTGCTACACAAACACTTAAGTTGTTAACAGGACGAAGCTTAGCTGTAGACAGGAGGTAAATTTTATCTATTTTCAATTGAAGTAATTACTTAAAAATTAATAAATATGTATCATATTGGAAATTACTGTTTGTTGTACATTACAACCTCAGACACAGTGAGAGGATATACAACAAGTTTGATAGTAGAAAAACAAATGTGGTGACATCCCTCTTGTCCCACATGTGGTGACATCACAGAGATGTTCATCCAGTATTCCACATGAGGTCATGTGACCTACCTGCATGCCAGATAGTTGGTATCCTAGTTTGATAACGGGAGGAAACTTTGCAACTTCAAGTGCAATTTTTTCTGGAGGTGCTTCAGGGTCATATGTTCTCTTGCCCATCTTGATGTCTATGACACTGGGTTTACTGAGGCGACACATAAGGTTCTCAAGCTTCAGGTAACTCACTACAAAACATAAATATCATATTCCAGGTAACTCATTTAAACATAAATATCATACTCCAGGTAACTCATTTAAACATAAATGTCATACTACAGGTAACTCACTACAAAACATAACTATCATTCTGCAGGTAACTCATTTAAACATAAATGTCATACTCAAGGTTACTCACTACAAAACACCAATATCATTCCAAAATAATCTACAAAATGGCAATGTCATACCTCAAGCTAACTCACAACATAACACTAACATCATTCTCCAGGTAACAATGATTTATGACATATATTTATATATATATAGCAATAAAGTAACAAGTCCTATAGAAAAGAGTAGGCCTGCAGTATCCCACAGCATGATCATATGAGATGACTAATGAATATAGCCCCTGTAGAACCGGGAACTTCTTTCTATATCTTCTGCTTTTGGGAACATTGAAAACACAGAAATGATCTACTGAACCAACTACATTGTTTGGGATAATATCTCTATAACTAAGTATTTGTATCTTCCTTTTTTTTTTTAACTTTCACACAAATTCAACGTCAACTGTTGGGCCATTTATGACTTTAAGTGTTGATGGGCACTACCGTATAAATAAATTCTAAAAAAGCCTACGCATGTTGTGCCCCACCTGTGTGATTAACTGAGGAGGACCCAATTAATAAACTACACCAGCATCAAATGTAAACATGTAGGTGACACTTCCGTGATGTCCTAAAGCATGTATCCATAGTTTGTGCAGTAAACTACAAAGACTAAACTTAACGCCTTTAGGACAAGCATCACTTCATATACGGACAAATTCTATACCGCCCAAATAGACCTCACATCAAGCTAGGAAAACAGGGACCTCTGCCAGTATAGATGTTCATTATGATTCACAAATGTATGATACAATCCACTTAATGCATTCACCCCTGAAGACACATTTGAACTCTTCCAATTCAAAGGCTGGAATAGTTCATCATGAATTTTCAGGGGTGAATGAGTTAATATTCGCACTCAACTTTTTTTTAAATTTGAGTCTGAAGCAGGTTATGATGAAGAGATGTAAGAAAACATCTTAGAATTGCTGTCCCTTGTAATATTTTTACACTTTTACAAGTAGTTGAAAAAAATATTTCTATACATGTACCACTATGTTTATGATTTTGCAAAAATTGAATCTTACAAAATATGATTCTATATGTATACTACACCAAAGAAAGTTACAACACAAGTTGTCCCTAATGCACCAGGGTTCAAAAACTGTCTTACACTGTCAACTTCATAGACAATTCACTGTTTTTACATAAAAGGCAATATTTTTATCTAGGAATACAATTATTAAAGTGTTCACGAAACCATGGCAGCTACCACAGTGAAGCTTAGAATATGAAGAAGTATTAAAATCTTTGTATTCTGGTAGACGAGAGTTATATTCTGACAAAAATAAAATACACCTACCACTGGGGTTGTCGGTACACTGTACAATGCCAGAGAACTGCGGGACAAATTGGCGAAGATTGAGAAGGGTTTTGTTGGAGCAGTTTTCGTCGAAGGCGGTGGTGTAAAATTCCATTTCCCTCTGACCACGCGGCGGGCTCTGGACAGGTTTGAGCACTGTACCATCCTCATGTTGTAGACAACCTACAATGTTAAACATTATCATAAATAACACATTAAAGGGCATAGTGCTAAGGTTACTACAAAGTTAATGTACATATTTCCACAGTTTTTGTTTGACTTTGTTGCATTAGTTGGTGGTGGCCAAGTGGTTAAGGCGTCTGACATTCTGCTACCACGAGCCCTCCACCACTGGGTCACGGGTTCGAGACCTATGTGGGGCAGTCGCCAGGTAATGACTGTAAGTTGGTGGTTTTTCTCCGGGAACTCTGGCTATCCTCCACCACTAAAACCTGGCACATCCTTAAATGACCATAGCTGTTAAAAGGACGTAAAATACAAGTCAAACCAAATCATTTGTTTAATTTGAAATCCTTTATTTTCTCTCCAAAGAAAAAGTTTTTATAACTTTGCTATATTAGTTTGAGTACAAGTCGGTCATTTTAATATTACTATGTTCCCGAGACGTTTTGAAGTTGTTGTTATTGAAGCTTCTTTCTATTACTAACGTTACTCTGTCTCCGAGTTACCACATGAGTACTGAGCTTAAGTCTTTCACACTTTGCCGTGTACTTCATTCTCAGCTGCTAATTTTTCTTACAGGGATTCAGTATGTAAATTTCAAGAAAGTACATCAATTTAACAATTCAACTTAACCTCGTGAATGTTTTCCAATTTTGGAAAGAAAGTTATAGTTATATTGATGGTCAATATCAAATCTTTCAATGTTCCTAATCTTAGAGTATGAATGGATACATTGAATAATAAGATTACACTGTATATACAAAGTGTTTTACTGTATCAGAGATTCATGAAATTTAAACTTTACCATATAATAGGCTGTGGATACTTATTCATAAAGTAAACAAGTACAAAAGTTCATTCTTAAAGTATTGATAGTTATATATTATCTAATATCAAATAGGGATAGTACTATTAGTTATTAATCAGGGCAAATAGACAAAAGTACAGGTTTACCTAGAAAACTAGCACAAAAAGGTCAATTATAAGTTTACCTGGAAAACTACTGCAAATAATTCAAATATAAGTTTACCTGGAAAACTACTGCAAATAATTCAAATATAAGTTTACCTGGAATATTACTGCAAATAATTTAAACATAAGTTTACCTGGAAAACTACTGCAAATATTTCAAATATAAGTTCACCAACACCATATTACACACAACACTCCTAATTAGTAATTATTAACTGGCAGTATGTAGTTCTCACATATGGGATCCTTTCAGATAAAATTGATCCAGTAACACATTCTTTATCATCAGTAGATTTAATTATTAGCTTTCCATACAATGGTTAGATGAACAGATACCAGATGTTTTATATACAGAGTCGTCCAGTCAGTGGCTTTAGATACCACACCCACGAGGGTCATTGATCACAATACAATATGCCTATACTTAGCCTCTCAACAATATGTCCTATACTTAGCCTCTCAACAATATGTCCTATACTTAGCCTCTAAACCATATGTCCTATACTTAGCCTCTAAACCATATGTCCTATACTTAGCCTCTAAACAATATGTCCTATACTTAGCCTCTCAACAATATGTCCTATACTTAGCATCTAAACAATATGTCCTATACTTAGCCTCACAACAGTATGTCCTATACTTAGCCTCTAAACAATATGTCCCATACTTAGCCTCACAACAGTATGTCCTATACTTAGCCTCACAACAAGATGTCCTATACTTAGCCTCTCAACAATATGTCCTATACTTAGCATCTAAACAATATGTCCTATACTTAGCCTCACAACAGTATGTCCTATACTTAGCCTCTCGACAATTTGTCCTATACTTAGCCTTTAAACAATATGTCCTATACTTAGCCTCTCAACAATTTGTCCTATACTTAGCCTCTCAACAATATGTCCTATACTTATCCTCTCAACAGTATGTCCTATACTTAGCCTCTCAACAATTTGTCCCATACTTAGCCTTTAAACAATATGTCCTATACTTAGCCTCTCAACAATTTGTCCTATACTTAGCCTTTAAACAATATGTCCTATACTTAGCCTCTCAACAATATTTCCTATACTTAGCCTCTCAACAATATGTCCTATACCTAGCCTCTAAACCATATGTCCTATACTTAGCCTCTTAACAATATGTCCTATACTTAGCCTCTCAACAATTTGTCCTATACTTAGACTCTTAACAATATGTCCTATACTTAGCCTCTAAACAATATGTCCCATACTTAGCCTCACAACAGTATGTCCCATACTTAGCCTCACAACAAGATGTCCTATACTTAGCCTCTCAACCATATGTCCTATACTTAGCCTGTCAACAATATGTCCTATACTTAGCCTCTCAACAATTTGTCCCATACTTAGCCTTTAAACAATATGTCCTATACTTAGCCTCTCAACAATAGTCCTATACTTAGCCTCTCAACAATATGTCCTATACTTATCCTCTCAACAGTATGTCCTATACTTAGCCTCTCAACAGTATGTCCTATACTTAGCCTCTCAACAGTATGTCCTATACTTAGCCTCTAAACCATATGTCCTATACTTAGTCTCTCAACAATATGTCCTATACTTAGCCTCTCAACAATTTGTCCCATACTTAGCCTTTAAACAATATGTCCTATACTTAGCCTCTCAACAATTTGTCCTATACTTAGCCTTTAAACAATATGTCCTATACTTAGCCTCTCAACAATTTGTCCTATACTTAGACTCTTAACAATATGTCCTATACTTAGCCTCTAAACAATATGTCCCATACTTAGCCTCACAACAGTATGTCCCATACTTAGCCTCACAACAAGATGTCCTATACTTAGCCTCTCAACCATATGTCCTATACTTAGCCTGTCAACAATATGTCCTATACTTAGCCTCTCAACAATTTGTCCCATACTTAGCCTTTAAACAATATGTCCTATACTTAGCCTCTCAACAATTTGTCCTATACTTAGACTCTTAACAATATGTCCTATACTTAGCCTCTAAACAATATGTCCTATACTTAGCCTCTAAACAATATGTCCTATACTTAGCTTCTAAACAATATGTCCTATACTTAGCCTCTAAACCATATGTTCTATACTTAGCCTCTAAACAATATGTCCTATACTTAGTCTCTCAACAGTATGTCCTATACTTAGCCTCTCAACAGTATGTCCTATACTTAGCCTCTAAACCATATGTCCTATACTTAGTCTCTCAACAGTATGTCCTATACTTAGCCTCTAAACCATATGTCCTATACTTAGTCTCTCAACAGTATGTCCTATACTTAGCCTCTAAACCATATGTCCTATACTTAGTCTCTCAACAGTATGTCCTATACTTAGCCTCTAAACAGTATGTCCTATACTTAGCCTCTCATTAGTCTCGACTCCAACTTATTACCAAATCTGACAACTCATTTTTATATGGCTTAACATTTAAAGTTTTACAGATTAAAGTACCTCACAAATATTTTAGATTTTTTTATGGAAGATTATCTTTATTTATGGATTATAAGGAAAGTATGGAATCAGTTAAATTATGTGAAAACATATTATTGTGTTTCATGTTTATTTACAAAATTCAATTAAAGTTATCAAATATGCAGTGCATGCAACAGGATCTTATTTTTAGATATGGTTGGTGCTTAATCAACTGTCTTTAACCTATTGATTTTACCTGTAACTTATATTACCTCCCTTTACTATTCAAACCAGCATCACTTAAAAATGATAAAAAAAATCATTGCATTTTTGTATTAAATAAACTATTGCATTGATATTAACAAAGTCCAAAATCGTGGAAATGTTTTGGAAAGGAGGTACATTAGGTCACATTAAATGTAGCATATACCCTTAACACAAAATATCCAGGTCTCCTCATTCATGACATACCACACACTGGTTTAACATGTATAAGCTTGATCATGTGGAAAAACATCATTCTTTCGTCAGAGTATTCATGTATGATTAATGTTTGAACATTAAGTTTCTAGTGCAACAAATATCTATAACGTGTACTGGTATATTAGAAAATGACTGGGTCCTTTTTCCATTACCAAGGAGTCTAGTTGATTGACAAGGTGGCACAAACACTGTAACATGGCCTTAATTTGTTTCACTGTGTCAACTCGAGCAGAAATAGTAGTCCCAGACCGAACCCGGCTACTTGACAGCTGTACTGTTTTTATGAACACTGAAGTATCAATGCTATTAAGGCCCACCCTTGGCTCTTGTCAACTGACCAATCATGTCGGAACAATCAATATCTCTCAACACCAACACAAGAACAAACACACTCTTCTACAAACATGGACGCTATTACAATCACTGTTTCATTGATGGTGTTGCATCTATTGTTTTGAAATGACTATGAGATACGAAAGTCCCAGTTTATTTTACCCGGTTCACAGAAAAATCAATGCCATAATCTTTTCAACAGTACTTTTTTTATCGATAAGAATGTGTTTTTCCCCTTTATTCAACGAGCTTACAAATATGCTATTGTGATTTGAAAATGATTCATATTCTTTTTGTAAATAACAACCTTTAAAAGAAACACGTAAAATATTGATCATTTCACTTTTAACAATATGTGCTTCAAATTCAACATGCAGGTTTTTTTCAAAAGCAGTCTCCAGGGCCTGAAATAATGCTTAAGTTAAATCTAAAATCATTTTTTTCTATTTTTCTATTGATGGGCTGATTTGAAGCATTTGCAGTACTGTATATGATACATTAATAATCTAGTGTACAAATGTACTTGTGAGTTTGCCATGGACCTCTAAATCAACACCAAAATAGGTAACACAGGTGTCAATATTGTGCAGTGTAAATAAGGTTAATGGGGGCAACAGAAACAAATATTGATGACAGACTCCAGGCGCCGCCTGTTCAATCGAGTGAAGAAATGTGCATATTTCATAAGTACATGTACATATTCACTGTATATAGTTATTGACCTCCAATATACTATAATACATTGACTAGACTGAGAACCTAAAACTTCAATAGTGTAACAATCCCGGATCATACATATGCGACCAATAATTCAGGTAGACTCTTCAGTGTGTTAAATAACACGAAATAGTATTGGAATTTTAGCTTTGAAAATTAAAAACAAACAACATCTGAAAACAAGTGGTCCCAGAAATCTATAGTGAAAAGAATGGAAATCAGCATGCTACAGTGCTATGTCTGGCCTGGTAGATTATAATTATTGTCTTGGAGAATATGGGACCTATTTGTGGCATCTGTCGTCAGGGGAATCTGACCTTGTGGTGTAGCGACCTTCTTAGAAATGTACATTTTATTCGTTCTATGTGTATAGCTTTTTGCAACTCTTCAAACAGCATAGATATAAACTGAGAAATTAAGTATAAAGCAATACAGGTGGCCCATGGTAAGGCAGCCGATGTTAGGAGCTGTTCCTAACCACTAACAGTGTATGGCCCATGGTAAGGCAGATGATGTAAGGAGCTGTTCCTAACCATTAACAGTGTATGGCCCATGGTAAGGCAGCCGATGTTAGGAGCTGTTCCTAACCACTAACAGGGTATGGCCCATGGTAAGGCAGATGATGTTAGGAGCTGTTCCTAACCACTAACAGGGTATGGCCCATGGTAAGGCAGCCGATGTTCGGAGCTGTTCCTAACCATTAACAGGGTATGGCCAATGGTAAGGCAGCCGATGTTAGGAGCTGTTCCTAACCACTAACAGGGTATGGCCCATGGTAAGGCAGATGATGTTAGGTGCTGTTCCTAACCATTAACAGTGGATGGACCAAGGTAAGGCAGCCAATGTTAGGAGCTGTTCCTAACCATTAACGGTGTATGGCCCATGGTAAGGCAGCCGATGTTAGGAGCTGTTCCTAACCATTAACAGTGTACAGACTGCCATGTTTCTTGGTGTTTCCTTTGCAAAGGTTAAAAGCTATAGCTCAGGCTTTTAGCCTTGGTTAAAAAAGCATAAAAAATGAGTAATTTAGTTTATATAAAGACATTTAAACCCAATTCCTGGTCAAGGAAGAAGGAGATAATATAGAATATAAAAATGTTATCCATAAAAAGGAAATCTGCAGACAGGATTATTAGCCTATAATCAAATCGGAAATCTTTCTAATAAAACTAGATGCAAAAATGGATTTTCAATGGCCTTATAAAACACAGACTGACATACAACAGAAGACCTAGTTCAGCATTGAGCAACCCCAAGTCTTCGCTGAGAGCTCTGGCTATTTTTCCTTGCGTTTCTAGAATCTAACAAGTATCTGGCAACAAAAGGCCATATCACTAATAATCATAGCCTGATTAGTCCAACCTTTGGTTACTATAGCAGCTGGGTGTATACAAAAATACCATCTGTACAGAGGTTTAATAAAGCCCTTTCAAATATATACTCGAGAATCATGTTCCATCACTCTTTAGAAAACTACCATGAAACTATTAGGAATCATTATATTTCCTTTATTAGGAATCATTATATTTCATGAAGATTATTTCCCAAAAGGAGGTCTTAATTAAAACCACCTGTCCATATTTGACTTTGTGAAAGAGCTCCTACCTAGTGTAAACTTATACTGACATTCATCATTACAGATTGTCGTGCAGAATTGATTTCCTTCCATACAATGAACTGTATGCAGGCTTATTATATTATTCCACATGTAATTTCCTATCCAACTTCTATATTCACCAGGACTAAGAACGAAATATATAAGAGAAAATGATATGGCCAACTCACAGCATTGATGTTAAAATGACTTACAATACCTACAGAGAATCAATGATGTTCTGACAGGTATAAAGCCGTAGTGATTAACTCATTCACTCCTGAAGACACATTTGAACTCTTCCAATTCAAAGGTTGGAATAGTTCATTATGAAATTTCAGGGGTGAATGAGTTAAAACCCGCCTTGCACGGTAATTACAGGTAAATGTTCCTGCCTAAATTCAATTCAATATCCAATCTCATACAAGGTGACAATATATTCCTCTGCCATTGAAATGGTTAAACAGGACATGTGCATGTACCATCCCTATTCTAATGATAACAAATACACTTACTTAACCTAAATACATTATACTATATACATGTAATTCACAACCTATATTGAAAAATATTCTAATAACAAAATTGAATACACTTTACTCATGCCAACTCTTAGGTTTTTACAACATTTATATTTGAACCAAGGTACCATAAACCCAGAGTCTAGATCATGAACCCATTTTGGCAAATTTATTTTATAACAAACTTTCTAGCCAAAAAAATGCTACGTACTCAACTTAAACACTGCAAGAATTTATTTTGTTACACGTGAACCTAAATAACCTATGTATTTCAGTGTGTCATTCATTGATAGTGTGTGCATCCTTTGTGTATCCTATTTTTTCACCTGAAATGAACATAAAAATAATGTTCAATATTTTTCAAACATTAACCTTGTGTTTGTGAATTCTGGTTATGACAGAGACACAGCTTTAGAACCATACAGTTTTTATCATGTTGTAGGTGTGTGTTTATTGTTTCTAGTTGTATAGAGGTGTGATCATGAGGGCACACTGTTATGATTGTCCTTGACTGACAAATGATATCCTATAGTCTCCAAGTGTCACAATGAAGTCAACCATATATTAATTTGTCCTACTGATCTATTATTACAAGGAACTGATTGTAATAAGCTTTGTTCGGTTGTTAATATCAAATTTAAAATTGGACAATTCTTGAATTCAGAAATAAAATATCAGGAAAAATGTTCTTTTTCTTGTCTAATGCTAAGACTTGAATGCTAAAATGTGTCATCTTTAATTACACTTCACAAATAGGAATGATAATACCATTAACTCATGATCAATTAATTAGTAAAACTTGCCAAATCTGTAGCTATGGTAAGCTAATGAACGTTTAAATTATCATAATTTTTTCATGATCTTTATCTTTACTGTGCTTAAAACTTTTACTGGAAGGCTCGTTAAGCTAACAAAGCTTGGTACATTTAGGTCATCAAAAGAACTAAGAAGTATCAATTGTAAGCTTGTGACAAATCATATTTAAGTTTTTAATTGGATATTTACATAACCATAAAAAACAGGTAGACTTAATGCTCTGAGATTATAAAGATCTCCCATCAGATGAAAATCATGATAAAATTAGTATTTTATGCGATTTTTGTTTAATAAATCATTAAGCCTACATTTAGTCTTGATTCCACGATGCCCGACTTCATTGATAGTAGTGTTTATTACCCATTTGTAACAAGTTTTCAGGTTAATGGGCTTCGTTACCATGTCTGTTGTCTATTCTGAATTGTGCTTTAAATCTTTGTGGTCAGTTTTGTTCATGATTTTGTTAGTGTTTTTGTTATCTTGATTCTTGACCCATCTACAGTTATACCAATTTAATACTCATAGAATCTCTTAAATTTCATTAAGTTTAACAATAACTGTTCTTTATATATGGGGTATTTCAGCTGTGGTACAGCTTCATTTGGGCATTTTACATCATTATGTAATACGTAAGTCCCCCAAGAATTATTAATTTACATTCAGTTCATACATATTACTCCTTTCAAGTTACTTGGCTCGGCTAGCATCAACTGATTCTTGACATATATTTCCTTACCAGATAGCCAAATCAAACTGAAGGCAGTAACAAACACCACAGCTATTATTTATTAGCCCCTTAGCCCAAATGTATTATTTGTGCAATAAAATTGTAGTATTTAATCTCAATATGCCTTGTTTGTGTCTTTTGTTCATAAATGTGTGAAGCCTCATACCTCATCCCTCTTACAGGCCAAGTTAAAAGTTCTTTGTATTTCCTTAATTCTGTATGCTTAATACAATACAGCATACAATTTTATCTTGTTTGTAGTGGTACTCACTAACATGGAAAAACACACATTTTTATACTTGATTCTCCATATTTTGAAAATTGCACAAAAGGTAACACTCAAACAGCATGTAGTTTGTCTTTATAACTGAGATAACTTTCCCCTGATCTATACAAATGGGATCTATCATATATACAGGGAATAATCTTGCAAATATAAAATGGCCTCCTCTCCAGGACTGGAAGGAGTGGAAAAACCAGCCTCCTCTTCAGGAAGGAGTCGTGTGCTAAGCTACATTCCAGTTCTATTGGTCATCAGGAATGGTGCTGATTTGACTTCTACTGTATCTAACAATTAAGGTCATTGGATTGTATTGATAAACGGAAACAGGAAGTACATCCCTAGTTGAAAATCCAATGTAGGGAGACAGTATCACAATTTCCGCAAATTCTAATGTTTAATATTCAACTGATGAATATTATATGTTTATCATTGACAGAACATTGTGTTCTCTCAATATTAAAGTATTTCAAAGCAATCTAGGTATTAATTCAGGGTTTTTTTCTATCAATGAGTCACATGTGTACATTTTTCTGTACTTCAGGCAACCGGCTACCTATTTCACTACTGTGAAGTTTTTCAAGAACGATAACTCTTGCCTGCAATTACTATGTGTATATGGTTTTATTATAAAATGTCAATTTTTATATTGTGTATAGAGGATAAATTTTACACAATTTCAGCATTTATTAAATTGATATACATTAATGCAATACTAATATATGTCACTATCATTTTTATTGACATTATTTTGTAAAAATATTGTGTCTTTCATTTTTTTTTCAAAATTCACTCCTTTTTACATAAATTTCCATTTAAAATCCTTAAAATTCTGACAACCTATATTTTTTTTGTGGCAGAAAATTTTCNCTTGTGTCCAGCCACCTGATTGGCTAATGGTTTGGTCCCAGGGGGCAACGGTGGTATAGCCAAAGACGCTGACATTCTTGTTTATTTATCTGTAAAATGAAGACAAAATTGATTAGAAATACAACAAGATGGTACAATATTGTTCTTAGCTTCTCCCAATAATTAGAAATTTTCTTCATTGTGGACACCATATTGGTCGTAATACTTTGTCTATTACAACAGTAATTTGCCTAATTCTGTGTCTTAACACAATGGTTCATGCCTACATTCTCACTGTAACAACCTTCAGAAAGTCCCTTATTAGATCCATCTCAGAAAAAAAATCATCAGTTTTGGGCTAAAATTTAAAATGAAGTTGTTAATATTATAAAGGCAACATACAGGTAGTGATTATAAAGAAATAATGTCCCATTATCCAATACTGTGTGATTAATTTGTCTAAAGTCTGTAAATAATCACGTTTTGTTTTATTTTGCAGGAGCTAACCATTTCATTTTGTATACATAAGCATTACCAGGGTATGTCAGATCATGTTTATAGTACTCTCTGAACTTCCTCTAACTGTAACACAAACTCACCCACTGAATCTCACTTAACCTAAATAATTGTGAACATACCCCTAGTGAGGCTACCTCACTTAACCTAAATAATTGTAAACATACCCCTAGTGAGGCTACCTCACTTAACCTAAATAATTGTGAACATACCCCTAGTGAGGCTACCTCACTTAACCTAAATAATTGTGAACATACCCCTAGTGAGGCTACCTCACTTAACCTAAATAATTGTGAACATACCCCTAGTGAGGCTACCTCACTTAACCTAAATAATTGTGAACATACCCCTAGTGAGGCTACCTCACTTAACCTAAATAATTGTGAACATACCCCTAGTGAGGCTACCTCACTTAACCTAAATAATTGTGAACATACCCCTAGTGAGGCTACCTCACTTAACCTAAATAATTGTGAACATACCCCTAGTGAGGCTACCTCACTTAACCTAAATAATTGTGAACATACCCCTAGTGAGGCTACCTCACTTAACCTAAATAATTGTGAACATACCCCTAGTGAGGCTACCTCTAAACTTGCAGGTACTTACCATGTACTGTGTATCAATACACACTCTTTGAAATTTTTAAAAAATTTGTCATGCAGATCTAATATAGTACTTGAAGCGGATATTTATTCAATCCTCGTTATACACAGAAATGCCACGCTCCTATAGGAAGAGACCCCTGATATGTATACACAACTCTCACCCATACCTCCACGGTCCGGGATATTAAAATTCACTTTCAAATATACCTATATATAGGCACTTTCTACCTTCATTTCCTTTTTTAAATTTCAATAAAATCCTATTTTTTTAGAAACCAGGACACAGTTTTCAAAGGTCAGAGGTGAATAACATTTACTGTTAACACTGGTAAGCTTTTTGTAAGATACTTTCAAAAACCATTCAAAAGAAGATTTATCTCCAAGCATATGTCAATAAGTTCAGATTTCAAGCAGATTACATACAGAGCCATATATTCATCTGGCAAAAGCCATTGCCTAATGTGAGCCCAATCACATATACTTTTGATATTGCAGTATAGAAGAAGTATCAACAGATGCTACATCACTGCTCTGTTATACAATAAGCACCCCACAACTATTGGAGTCTGAGATCTAGATTTGGTCCTCCGCTTTATATCGGCTTCAACAAAATTTCCAAATATGTTGTCCTTTGTAAATCCTTTACAGTCTTCAAGAAATTTGTTTATTTCATTTCAAATCAATTTTATTGTATTTTAAACACAATCAGATAAGGCACAGGCATTGCCTATTAAAAAGCCCTTTCCAAAGAAATTTGTTTATCTGGATTCTGACAATCCCATAACCTCATTTAGTATTATTTCCAAAATCCCTTTCTGTCAGTAATTAGATTTCTTTGATCGAGACAATGTTTTTGATGATATTGTGATTTTTCCCCCAGCAGAGCCAGCATGTAAGATTGTTATGGATGCGTTTTGCCATCCAACACATACAATTCAGATAAAATGCTGTGCAGCAATGCTTTTTAATTGGTTAACTAAAAAAGTTAGCTATAACTTAAATAGACTATATCATTTGGTATGCAACTCTCAAAATGGTGAAGGATTACCTGTTTTGCATATTTACCTTCGATTATACATGACATCACACCATTATCCGCGCTATTATACCTCTAGCGGCCACAAAAATAATAATTCTTTTTCACACATACACAACATTGCACTACAATTATCTCCCACTGAAACCAACAGTACGGCGAATCTCCAACAGCTAAACCATAAAAATGTGTTTTACAATTGTCATCTTTTCATCTGTTTTTAAGCAATGTCATACATACATAGAAGTAATTTAGAAGCATAATCATATATACATGAAAACTCTGTTTATCTTTTTCAAAAATCTAATTTATTTTTGCCATGTATTACTTCAGATGCACTAGTATGCATTGAGATAGAATTTTTCATGTTATCAAAACTGAATTCAATATTTCAAAGGAGTTCTAAGTCTCAGCAAAGCACAGATTTTTTTTTTTAATTTACACAATACCTCTGGTAATATCACAGAATGCATATACCTGCATTCAAAACAGCATTTCTACTCATCAAAGCCAATTTATATAGGTCTATATAAGTCTCTTTGTTGTCGGAGATTTTATGAATTACCAAAACAATATGTAACTGACAGCTGTCTTACGGCTGATGACCAATAAACATACAGCTGATTATATTCTATACAAATCTATTCAACTAATACATGCAAATTACCTATTTATAGGGGAAAAATGTATTATACACATTGTCAATATTGTTGATCACAATTACACTATAGAGTCCCTAACAGTACACCATTGAAATTTGATTTTTATCCATTATTTTCTACATATATATACCAGCACACCAATAAAACCATATTCACCAGGCTTACTGATGGGTTAAGTAAGATTTTCATTTCTTTTAAATATATATACAGGTAGTAAAGTCACACATGATTATATTGTTATATACTTCTCACCACTTTACGAAAAACTCATGCTGTAAAACTGCAAGTGATATCATTATTACATGTCTGTAGGCATATATATATTTGAATGGAATTGTCCTCCGCCATCTTGTACATCTCATATGAATTTTGAATACTGAATTATGTATGTTTGTTACCTATATGCTGTATTGCATTTGGCTATAATAAAACTTGAAAAAACTTGTGGAAATCGACCCCAGTAAGAACATTTAGAATCCCAGGCCATGTAAATATACCAGATGAATAGCGTTAAAGGTTAATCCGGCTACAGGTACACCTGGGGGCCCATGTAGATGTTAAGAGTTTAATTACCTGTACTTACAATATGTTATACAATGTACTTATACTACGTATCAATAGTGCTTACAACATGTGTGTCACAAATTGATATACCTTGCCAATTATTGTATACAGATTACGTTACTACTATGATGCAATGAATTACCATATAGTAAAGGGGATAAAAGTCTCACAGAACAAACTGTGCGGTATATCCATAACTATACCCAAATCATATCAGCTTTAAATTTATACAAACCATCTGACAGTACACATGTGTATATCCCTGTTGTAAACACAGCTGTTACGATGCGCCTATATATATTTTATCAGTTAAATCACTGTTGGTGTAATAAACCTCCGTCACCAATCAGTCCACCTCACGTACATACAGCACCTTGCTTATCAACAGACAAATTTACGGAACTATTGACCCAGTCAATGAATTAATACCCTGTTTACAGTAACTTTATCAACGACTTCCAGTTCACACAGACAATAACTAAGCCAAATTAAGTGTTGGTTCTAACACCTTGAATGATTTTACCTATAATTATTTCTGGTACTGATATTCAGTCATAATGGACCGGAATCTGAAACAAATTTATCAAGACCACTGGCACCAGGACTGAAATCAGACACCATGAATGTTTTTTACCTGAAATAGTTTTATAATACATTATTGTCTAAACAGCGAGGCAATATAACAGGAATTTGAAACATCTTAACTTATTAAAGATCCAGGTATGTGAGATCATCATACATTTACCTAAATTCTGACAGCCCAACCCAAACCTAATGCACATGATATATAATATGATATATAATATCTCGCTGATTGGTGTACTGTTTATGGTACATTTGTCTGTAACATGCAGACAGTAGACATAAAAACAGAAAATTTAAAACAAAATTGTTCAAGATACGGGTATATGAGAACATCATACATACCTGTATGTACCTTAATTCAGACAGCCTGATCCCCAAACTTAATGCACACAATATAATATCTCACTGATGTGAAATAGCTTCATGGTAAAGTTTGTCTGTGACAGACAGTCGATATAAAAATAGGAATTTAAAACAAAGCTATTAAAGTTTCCATGAATCCATATTTGAACATCATGTATATATATATACGCATACAGATAGCCGCTCCCAAACTATGTAGACTCTATAACATCTCACTGATGTTAAATACCGGTAGTTTTAACTCCATTCCATGTGTATAACCAGAAATATGTGTACATACAAAAACTGGAACTGTTCAACTGGAATTACACAAAACCCAGCAACTCATAGCTCAACATAACATATTTTCTCTAGAAAGTCATAACACATGAAATCTACAGATGATCCTATTGGATTCCTAGAATTGATTAAAATCCATATGATGTAGCCACACTGTTCTATACCTAGTCATGGACGCGTGATGTGTGACGTATATGATTATAAGTTACCAATACTCTCCGGTCTTGGTTCTAACCAAAGAGCTATGACTGACATTCTTCTATGATGACCCTAGCTTCGATTATAGCAAGCTATTGTGATGCTGAGGTACTCAGCTTGATGAACATCAATATTTAGTTTCAGGTTACCTGTAGTTGTCTCGGTAGGCTTGTACATGGTGTAAAATATCTCGGTTTATACCTTAAGTCTATAGCGACCTTGGTGTTTACCTGTTGATATCGAAGATGTGTGTTGACAGGTGTATCTAGTGAGATCTCATGATTAGAACTCATTGTATA